CACATTTATGAGCGCTTGGAATTGGGAAATGAAAATATCTTTTTGGTAAACAAAAATCCGGATTTTTCATTTAGGTATCCGGATATTCGAATATTCGGTTTATCCGGATAGTTGAAAAATCCTGATGAACTTCCCAGCCCTACACTCGTTCGTTTGATACCCATATTTTAAAGTTTCATATAACTTATGCTTAATTAAACTAAATACGACTTCAAAACAGTTGGCAACCCTCTTAAAATACAGTTCTGAAATAAAGGATTTTAGGCCTTCAAAATCACATACAAAATTCAATTTCATTTGACATCCATTTTTAATATTTCATATAACTTGGGTATAAAATATTTAGTTTGACTTCTCAAATAGGTGGCAACCCTCTTCAAAATATTTCTAAACTACTACCTTCTTAAACCTCTTTTGTCTGACACCCACATACTGATACCTTATTCACTTACTGAATTCCTTTAATTAAAATTGAATTACATGTTTTAAACATGTGGCAACCCTCTTACGTGTAGTTAAGATGTAAAGCCTTTCCAAAGCCATTTCGGTTGATACCCATATTGTAACAATTGATTTAACTTTTTAAATCATTTGAGCTTAATTGCTAAACAGGTGGAAACACTTCAAAAAAGTCAAACCTTACTGAAAATCCACACTCTAGGGCCATTAATTTGGCACCCCACTTTCGAAAATCGAACGAATGGTGCGGATCTGATGACCTGGACAAAAATTCCCCTTCGCGTATTATACATCTGTGGTCATAAGCAATAACCGCCTAAGTCAACCTAATTTGAGTTATGAGTATTGAGTTATGCTATGCTATCGTTTTCTGCAACTACTATTCCATGTGTATGTGAAACTCCCATCCCGTTTGCTAGGCTATTTAAAAGGTTATAGACGAAAATATTTTGGGTTTTCCATAAGGTTAACATTACAATCCAAAGCGTTTTTTCTCGAATTCAAGTTTTTCGACTTAAGCGATTATTGCTTATGACCACAGATATATACATACATACATAGATTAGTTACGCGCTGGCGACATTAAATCATATTTCAAAAATGAGCTCCGTACACATACTTATGTACATACTTAGGCGAAACATTTCGGTGCAGTGTTTCTTTGTCCCATCCAAAACGATCCAGTTTGTGTCACTTGAACGCCGCTAAGTCCACAAGAAATTAATGCACCAGTATTGTCCAGAATTGATGCCGTCTAATTGCCAAACTAGCTCAAGACAGGATAATTTGGTAATAATGAAGATATTCGAAAGTTAACCAGCGATATCTTTGAAAGCTGCTCAATACTAACTAATTTTTAAAACCGACTTCAATTCTCATATAAAAATTTGAGATTATCGTTAATTTCTTCGCCATCCAAATATCGGATCTAAACAAAATTAGTAAAAAGAAATATCGAAATCGGTTAACGTGGTCCAAAGATATGCGCTAATATACATACAAAAAAAAATAAAAATATTCCGACGAACTGATAATTTTTTGAAGTCGGTTAAAAATGGATGTACACTAGGCATCATATGAAAGTATAAATTTCACAGTTATTACTTCAGTGCAGATTTATTAAAATAAATAAGTAATCATTCATACGATATCCGAATAACAAAAACATAGGGGTATATCTTTTTCCAGAAATCTGGCGAAAAATATAAGTATTTTAATATATAGATAAAGATGCTAAAACAAAAGGCGCCAAATGAAAGCATAAATCCGCAAAATGAACTAAAATTTTTATTCAAATCTAAAATTAGTAGTTTGTATTTTCACCTTTGTTTTGAAATATTACAAGAAAATATTCCGCAAATTTCGTGCCAATTTTGATAACATTTTCGACGTATTAACGCCTCATCTCTAAGTAAAACTACTCCAAGTTTGTGCGAATGCTTTTTGCTATTTTGGAGCTCAAAATATATCGGATTTTAATCTAACGATTAAGTTAAGAAGAAGTTTTCTTCAAACTAGCGAGTAGCAAGCTGGGACGTGTCTAGTTGAAAGATAAAGAACCCTAACGCAGTTTTTTCGCGCTTATTGCCAAATTTTCGCTGAGAACGTCAACATAAACAGCTGCCGTCATTCGTCCTTCGATTTTTAGCAATTTGCCGACAACAAATTATCGGAATAGTCCCAAACCATAGGAGGAGCCGCGCCTCCATGCTTTACCGGTAATTATACGTACAGTGATTTCTAGCGATCAGAAGGCTTGCACCACACCCGATTATTGTTTTTCTTCAGCTCATTAGACCAAATAGCTTTGTCACAAAATACGGTTGGCATGTTTACATACTGTTTTGCACACTCCACTCAGTTTTCCTCTTCGCTTCGTCCTTTTTTCTTGTTCGTAATGAAAATCAACGGTAATTTTTTGGCAACATAGTTTTTCAAACCAAGTGATCTTATGTTTTTTTTTTGCACGGTACTGGCGGAAACATCCAAATGCAAGCTTTCGATCAATTCCTTTGACGAAATTTCAGGGCTTTTTGCAACTTTTCTTCTCATAACTCAAAGTTTTGGGTTTTGAAACTTCTCCGTACTAAGATTGAGAATCTGTGGTCAAGTTTGGGCTACAAAATACCAAAAAGCTGCCGCATAAACTTGCAGTCATTTTACTTAGAGCTGGGGCTTTTCAATGGGCCAATATTCCATCGGAAGTGTTAGAGAACTTGCTTCGATGTATGGCGAAAAGTCTTCGCGTAATATTTTAAAGCAAATCAGGGCTCGCATCGTAACAGTCGTGAACGAGCAATTTGTAACTGTTAGAGCATCCCCGACTTGGTAGCTCATATTTTTCCGTTTTCCAATTAAAACATTTTTCTCTATTTTAGAAGGGTTGGACGGGTGGTCTGGGACACCCGGTATATGGGCGGTGGGTGTGGTTGTGAGCCGATTTCGTTGATTTTTAAACCAACGTCTTTTAAGGTTCTTAGAAGCATGTGTATACGATTTTAAGCGCCTTCCTGCGTTGGTTGATTTTTGGCCACAGAAAGCGCTTATTTTAGCTATAGCGCATCGGTTAGATAACATGTATAAACGCGTCATTCATTTGACGCGAAGTGAAAATAGGCTGGTTTTCATATACAGCCCGTTTTAAATTAGAATTATTATTATAATAAATTCGAATTACTGTTCGCTTCCATTTCGGTGAACCGTTCAAATTTATTATCAAAAAAATGTCGTATACAAACCGCAGATTTAGTTTACTTTTCAATACGGTTTCATCAGATATGTGTTGAGTCAAATCGGTTTTTTTATTAATGCGGTTCCTGCGTAGGTATAAACAGGATATATAATGTCAAGGAATGAATAACTTTTAACCCTTTGCTGTGGTGTTTAACTGAAAGATTTTTCCCGTGTCTGTCAAAATCATTTCAACACGAGTTATTTTATTATTTGCCTATTTCAGCCAACTAATTTAAGCGCATGCGTTTATATCTAGGATCAGTTCCCATGCTCTGCGCGGTCCCGGTGCCTGAAGCATGTAATGGGCTACAATAGCTTAGGGCTAAACATTTTATTTTATATTAGTAATTTATAATTTTATTAGCCGGTCTCGTATGGACGAGGCTTCGCTTGACATCTGATTAACAAAACATGTCTACTTATTTTTAAATAGTTGGTAATCCTACTAAAAAATATTGAGGTTTTTTGCTCATTCCGAGACCAAACCCTTTTACTTGGTACCTCATTTTTTAATTCAATGAACGTTGCGGATTCCAAAATTTTTAAACAGATGACAACTTTAATTTGAGATTTTGTAATTCAACGAACAGCCCACATATAGTTTTTCGAAAAAGTGGCAGCCCTCTTCGAAAAAACGGTGCGGCTCTAACAATTTTTAAACAGGTGGCAACCCTACTCAAAATGAAATTAATTTGTGAATGTCAAGCCCTTTCATTTGACACCTCATTTTGTTTAATTAAATGCACTGTTATTAACAGAAAATACCTTTACGTATTATATCTAAGGTAGTAAGTTTTAAATAGGTGACAACCCCACTAAAAAAAAAAAATTATAAAAGCTTATTCCGCATCCGGAGACCATATCCTTTCACTTGGTACCTCAGTTTTTACTCCAACAAGCGGTGAAGATCTTTTAACTTGCAGAAAGATGGCAACCCTATTCAAAACGTGGTACATTATTGAACATTAAGTCCTTTCATTTGACACCTCATTTTTTGTGCGGATATTATAACTTTTTTAGACAGGTGGAAACCCTATAGAAATTTTAAGCACTAAAGATAATATCCCTATCGATACAGATTATTACTGAAAAAACTCGCCCAAATCCGCTTAGTAGTTTTCCTGAATAGCTGGTCAAAAACCTCGACTTTAAGGATACGGATTATTTTTGTTTGCGAACCCCAGGTTGGGAAACCCTTGCCATGGGCGGTTACGGTGCTACATAAGAAGATGAAGTAGAATATTTTATTTCAAAGCGTAATTTGGTAAACGCTACAAAATACCAAAATTACATGGTCAATGTCAAAAAGACAATAATTTAAATAAAAAGTAATAAATAGCCATTGAGTCGCGCTTAACACCTCTTTGACGATGAACCTATGGAAGTTATTTGCTGAAATATTTAATACAACTCCATAAACATACATACATATGTAGTGTGTACATATGTATGTATTTATACTTGTAATGCGCCGGGTATTGCTGTTGCATATTAAATAGGCGCACAGGGCTCCAAAATATTTTAGGGAAAACACAAATAACTCGTACGCATATGTATGTACATATGTAAAGTGTTAAATGCGTGCGTGGTAACTAAAACTTTGTCATGGACAAAAGACTTTTGTACTACATATTGGAGGCCTTGGACTTGTAAGTAGACATAGAGAAACAAAATTTTGCTGCTTACCAAAATGTTTACTATAAAAATGTTGAGTTGAACGAAAATAGACATCAAAAACATTTACGCACTCAACGTGGTCACAAGCTCGAGCTGTTAAAAAACCAAGAATTCAAATAATCAAAATCAAAATGTTCAAATACGTAAGTGATCCTCTGTGAACTCAAGAAATAAAATCATAACAATTTATTGTGCTTTAATAATACATTCTTCCAGGCTATTGTCATATTTGCCGCCATCGCTTGCGTTGCTGCCAAACCGCATATACTAGCTGCTGCTCCCTTGGCCGTTGCTGCTCCAGCGCCTATCATCACCGCCACCAGTAGTCAAGTAGTGGCACGCAATCATAATGGCATCGCCTTTGCGCCAGTTGTAGCTCGTGCTCCCATTGCAGCAGTAGCACCGGTGGCTCCAGCCGCGTTGGCGGCGCCAATCGGCCCTCTTGCTGCTCCTGCACCTTTGATTGCCGCCCGTTATGCTGCCGCTACTGCACCTCTAGTCGCTGCCCGCTATGCTGCCGCTCCTGCTCCACTTGTGGCCCGTTACGCAGCCGGTCCATTTGCTTATTCAGCTCCTTTGGCGACGGCCGCTTATGCTGCTCCAGCTGCTTTCTCCTACGCGCCCGCATATGCACCAACTCTGCGTTACGCTGCAGCTGGTGCTCCAGTTGTTTGGTAAATGACGAACTTTTGCAATTCAAAGCACTGTGATAGTTTTTAAGCGATTAAGAGAATTATTAGAATAAAAGAGATTGTTGTTGTTTACTTGAAATCGTTGTATTTCTTTGACTATCCCATACGCTACAGTCATTTTTATTTAGCGAAAGTGAATCCAAGTCATTTTCCAGTTGATCTTTACAACGCTGAAGAGTACTTTTTCAGTGCTTGACTGCCGGTGGCCGGCCATCACCCTGCGATCAAATGTTAGACATACTTAGGGGCACACAACTTCTAGGGTGTATCAAGCCTCGATTTTGGCTTGGCTGCGGTTTCCATCAGGAAGGTAATGGAGAAGGGACCAAGCTGCCGATAAGGAAGCCATCTGTATATACACTGACGGGTCCAAGATGGACTGCGTTTTACGGACAGGAGTATATTCCGAGGAACTTGGTGTCAATCGGCTCCTTCGGCTGGCAAACCATGCTAGCATATTTCCGGTTGAAGTTCTTGGCATCTGTGAGGCCTGTAGAATACTAAAGAAGAGTGCTATCAGGAAAGCAAGAGCGGTTATTTACTCAAGTCCAAGCTAGTCAAAGAATGCAAACTGGAGCTATGCCCGGCGTCTCAGTCAATGCCCATCTCTCTTGGCTGGATTCTCGTTATAACGAGAGAGCGGACGAACTGGCCAAGGTGGCAGCTAGTTTGGATGAATCTGTAGTGGTGATACTGGGTTATCCCCTCAGACAAATAAAAACAGAAAACCACATGCACCTTCGGGAACTGGCAAGGAGAAGATGGTCAGAGATTCAGACTTGCAAGGTAGCCGAGAACTTTGGCCTGACTTTAGCAGGAAAACAATAGCGGAGCTGCTAAGTAAGCTAAGGGTGGAAGTATTTAGAATTATAGCGACTATCACAGCGGTCATTGGCCGCTAGGAAAAAATGCATGTAGAATAGGTCTTCCATATAACAGAATATGCGCCATTGCTGCGGCTTGGATGACAGCGAAGAAACAGTATTTCCTTTCCTGTGCCAATGCTCAGGTCTGGCTTATTTATGACATAAAACTTTCGGAAAACACATAATGAAGCAGTTAGCGGATTTATCTAGTGCTACTCTAGGCGACATACTCAAATTCATAAATGGTTCTAAATGGTTTGACTAAACTGCAGGAATGTTCTGACACGTGGGCTAAAGTAGCATAAAATATCTTTGTCCCCGAGAAGTGTACCAAAATGGGGCTTTTATGTGCTATTTGATTCTTGAGTGACAACTGGGTTAGCACTACAACCAAACAGCCAACCACGAAAGGTGGTATGTACGGTCGGATCTGCCATTAGTTTTTCCATAATCCCGGACAACATCATAAGCGCAACCAAAGTCGGAATGGTAATCAAGGCCTTTGAACCATATAATTGACCGGGTTTAGATTTAACCTTTCCCGGTGAGTTAAGAAGCATCTGATATTTAATGTCCATTACTAACAGTCATCTACATATATATAACGCTAGTTTCGACCTGGCCTACATTCTCAAAAAAACGGACCAAGGCCAAAATGGATATGATTTCAAGAAGAGACAGCTCGTCTTTCCTGAAACTATGTTTTCGACATACATATTAACTTGCGACTTCTGACAATACCAGAGAGACTACTCGTTATCCGTCAAAAGATAGAGCCCACTAAGCTATCAGAGTGCCAACATGCCATATCGTCAAATAAAATTGATAAAGTTATAGCGTTCAAAAGCTCAGCCTTAGCTTTTAAAGGTGCCTTAAATAAAGTTTTTTACCAGAAGCTATTGTTAATACCACTCCGTTGAGCCTGGGTCTGATCTCTGGTCTGAGCAATATCTCAATTATAAGACGATTTTTCTAAAAGCGGTCGCCCCACGGTAGGCAATGCTAAACCTCCGAGTGTATTTCTGCTTTGAAAAAGCTTCTCATAAAAGCCAAACACTTCAAATAAAGACATTTATGGTTCTCTTTACGAATAAAAAACAAAATTACCCAGGCCCAGCTTCCATTGCTAAATGCCGCTGCAGTAGTCCTCGTGGAGGGCTCGAGTGGGATTATACCCGCGCAACTGGCTGTGACGCTTGAAACCTCTGTAAGTTGGCTAATGAACATCTTCATGACCTGTTTTAAGCTAAATTACATACCAACAGCGAGGAGATCCGTCTCCGTTGTGTTTATTCCTAAAGCCGATAAGGCCTGTTAGCCCTTATTCTATTGTACTTCACACCCTAGAAAGGATGGTTAGTAACTACCTATATTTCACCATTGATAGTCGACTACTGTCTCACAATCAACATGCCTTTCTGAAAGGCAAGTCCATAGAGACCGCGCTTCATAGCTTGGCCTGTTTTATTGAAAAGTTTTTCAGTTACAAGGACTACTGTTTTGTAGCCCTTCCCGACATTGAGGGTGCTTTTAACAATATAAATTCAGAGGCCATAATAGAGGCCTTGAAGGGACTAGAGGTGGACAATTCTCTGGTGGAGTTTGTAAGGCAAATAGTCTTGTGCAGGGTGATCATGGCACACGTCGGTGAGAACTCGGCTGCAAGGTATGTGACAAGGGGCGCAACCGCAGGGTGGCGGACTCTCGCCACTCCTTAGGAATTTAGCCGTGAACTTATCTCTTGTGAGAGACGAAATTGGGAAGTGCCAAGGTTGTTGCTTATGCGGATGACGCAGCCATCGCGTATAGCGGAAAATTCTCCCAAACTCTGTGCGAATTGTAGCAGAGGGCACTTCGCGATGTATCAAGATGGTCCTCGCTCTGTGGACTCTGCGTCAATTCGGAGAAAGTGAAATTTGCGAATAAAGCAAAATTCTTAGGGCTGGAAGGAGAACATAGTCCAGCGTTATGAGAAGACGACTGTGGCCTTATATTCGTGCAAGAGGGCCATTGGTAAGAAATGGGGGTTGAGCCTGTGAATATGTCGCTGGATCGTCACAGCGGTGGTTAGACCGATTCTCCTTTATGGAATTATAATATGGTGGCCGGTCTTGAGCAAGGCAGCCCTGTCTTGAGCCGTCCATTTCGACAACCAGACTACTGTAGTGTCTTCCAGGCTGAGGTCTTAGCTATAAACAAACGTCGTACCGATTTAAAAGGTAATGAGCTGTTCATCTTTAGTGACAGCCAGATAGCAATTAATGCTGTGAGTTCCGTCACAATAAAGTCAAAAATTGTGCTCAACTGCCGCCGATCTCTGCTAGAGATGGCTAAGCAGAACATTCTGAACCTCATTTGGGTTCCCGGTCTTAGGGACATAGAGCGTAACTGTATGGCGGACGAACTTGAGAGGGGGGGCGGAACGACCGAGCTGATTCTTCCGGACAAGGAACGTGAATTTATCTATGTTCGCGCGAGCGAGAAATGGATGCTAACTACGACGTTTCGAATTTCTACGCAAACTACGCCTAGGTGGGATCGAAAAAGGGTTCGAAGCTTATACTCTCTAAAGAGAGAGGATATATCTCACACAATTGGTGCTCTAACAGGCAACTGCCTTATAGGTAAACACGCAGAACGGCTCGGAGTGCCTTACCATAGATGCTACAGAAGTTGCATGAACTATCAGGAGGAGGAGACAGTTCTCCTCTGTCTCTGTAACTGTCCGACATAATTGAGAAGCAGATTGCGCTTTCTGGGGTCTCCATTCTTTAGTGACCTTGCAAATTGGAAGCTTTAAACCCAAGGTGCCTGACGAGGCTTGTCAAGGATTCAAAATGGTTTAGCAAGGGGGAGTGAGAACTCGTAATCGTGGTTTCACTACGGGCCTTCAACTTTTTACCTATGTGTGTCCCTGCGTAGCAGTGACAGCCAAATCTACATACCTACCTAATCCTCGTGCAGGAAATTAAACCAAATATAGTATACAGCAGTAGTTCGTCCAAAACTGTCACATTTCGGTGAACGTCCTTGGATAAATTTTTGAATAGGAAAATGTGCGAAGCAGGCGATTTAGTGGGTAGACACTTCCCTTACGATGTTCAATAACTCCTACAATGCGGCAGCACCGTAAGCATCTTGTAAATTGTGGCCTTGTACATTGAGTTGGAAAATAATAAATGCGTGTAAGAAACAACTTATAGAGTAGCTAGACACATCTGGACCTTCACGGGTAATGAGAGGTGCAGGGATCTTCATTTCTCGTAGCTTTTCGACTTAGGCTGGTTTGGGGGGTCAACACTGGCCACTTTTTAGTGGGGATATATGCCAGCAGAATTGAATTCATGCGAACGACTACAGCCTTGACATTAAAGTAGTGCTTATAAGTGTGGTCCAGTAGCTCATAAAATGCTCTTCATCGTTTCATCGCTCAACCAATGGGGTCTATGCTTCGCGTACAAGGCTACACAGTTTCTTTTCCACCATATATTCAACACCGAATTTGCGCTCCATTAATTTACCGCTCATTTTAAGTGCACGGTCTTAAATCATAGTCTTTAAACCGTTTGTGGTATTAGCAAAGGCTACCGGAGACAGAATTGTCCATTGTGAGTGCCCTCTTTTAGTGAGTGTGAGAAGGAGACACGTACCTATATCAAAAAAGTAGCTTTAAGTCATTATTTTACTGAACCAATTACTATCTCTGATGAAGCTGATGAGATCCAACAGTTCCACCTCTACTACTTCGCCCAGACTGGTGCAGAAGCTTGAACCCAAGTTGCCTGGACATCCTGGACAACCTGGACATTAACACAGATAGTGGTCAATTGACTCTTCCTCATTCTCACCATGGCAGCCTCTGCAGAGAGTACTCGTTGGTATTCGCCATCGTTGGAGCATTAGTGCTATAGGCCAGTGTTCTGTGATGACGCCGGTAAGGGCTCTTACTGCAGATCGATTGAGTTTCAGTATGTCCCTTGTCTTTTTCCTAATCCGCTGCGGCCATAATAATCTTGTGGTCTCACAGTCTTCCCATTTGTTCCACAAGACATTCGTCACGGCCGCGGTGTACTCATTAATTTTCCTAACGTGATCACTAAACGGTGGTTGACACGGCTCA